CGATTTCAACAAACTAGTGACAGGATAGGTTATTAAGTACGTTATGCCAAATTTCGTGCAAATCGAAGGATATATAGGGACTTTGGTGCACCATTTACATGTAATCGGACGAAGCTATATATGGGAGCTATATCTAAATCTGGACCGATTTTGTCGAAACTTGGCAGACATCATTCTAGCCTCAGTTCAGTACGTTATACCAAATTTCGTGGAAATCGAAAGATATATAACAACATTAGGGCACCATTTACATGAAATCAGACGAAAATATATATGGGAGCTATATCTAAATCTGGACCGATTTTCTCGAAACTTGGCAGACATCATTCTGGGCTCAATTAAGTACGTTATGCCAAATTTCGTGCAAATCGAAGGATATATAGGGACTTTGGTGCACCATTTACATGTAATCGGACGAAGCTATATATGGGAGCTATATCTAAATCTGGACCGATTTTCACGAAACTTGGCAGACGTCATACTAGGCTCAATTCAGTACGTTATACCAAATTTCGTGCAAATCGAAAGATATATAAGAACATTAGGGCACCATTTACATGAAATCGGACGAAACTATATATGGGAGCTATATCTAAATCTGGACCGATATCACTCTAAGCTTAATTCAGTACGTTTTGCCAAATTTCGTGCAAATCAAAAGATATATAGGGACTTTGGGGCACCATTTATATGAAATCGGACGAAACTATATATGGGAGCTATATCTAAATCTGGACCGATTTTCACAAAACTTGGCAGACAACACTCTAGGCTTAATTCAGTACGTTATGCCAAATTTCGTGCAAATAAAAAGATATATAGGGACTTTGGGGCACCATTTACATGAAATCGGACGAAACTATATATGGGAGTTATATCTAAATCTGGACCGATTTTCACGAAAATTGGCAGACATCATTATAGGCCTTAATGATTAGCCTGTACCAAATTTCGTGTAAATCGAAAGATATATAGGGACCGTTTACATTAAATCGGTTAAATATATATATGGGAGCTATATCTAAATCTGAACCGATTTTTCCCAATTTCAATAGGGTTCGTCCTTGGGCCGAATAAGTGACCTATGCCAAATTTCATCCAATTCGGATCATAAATGCGACCTGTACTTTGTTTACAATTTAACATGGACAGACAGACAGACGGACGGACGGACGGACATGCATAAATCGACTTAGAAAGTGATTCTATGCATATTCTCAAAAGGAACCATGGGTCTATCTCAATTATTTTTGCCTGTTACAAACATATGCACAAAGGCATAATACCCTGTACCACAGCGTGGTGAAGGGTATAAAAATACAGAACATATACCACATATGATGGAACACTACTGCACAAAAATATTTCTATGTCGTTCATGGTTTGTGATATATCAGATTGTTGCGGAAATCGTTGAAACATGGTTTTTGAGGTCATCTATCGCAATTATCATATAAATGGTGTTAAAATGAGGAACACTGAGAATATACATAGAATATCTTTCTGAGTCAATTTATGCATGTCCGTCCGTCTGTCTGTCCATGATAAATTGTAAACAAAGTACCGGTTGCATTTATGAACCGAATTGGATGAAATTTGTCACAGGTCACTTATTTGGCCCAAGGACGAACCCTATTGAAATTGGAAAAAATCGGTTCAGATTTAGATATAGCCCCCATATATATATTCGTCCGATTTAATGTAAACGGTCCCTATATATCCTTCGATTTGCATGAAATTTGGTCCATCGTACTGAGTTAGGTCTAGATTGATGTACTTTAAGTTTCCTGAAAATCGGTGCAGATTTAGATATAGCACCAATATATATTTTCGTCCGATTTAATGTATGGATTCATCTGTTGAATATACCCAAAGTGGTGAAGGGTATCATATAGTCGGCCCCGTCCGACTTTACTACTTTCCTTACTTTTTTTAATACATTTCACCCCTGATGATCGTACCATGGGTTTCTTGATGGTGGTCTTTGTTGCTATTGTTGCAGTTTGTAGGGAGTGAGCAATTCTTTGCCCACTGTGCTTCAATATTATTATGGGGACGAGGAGCGCTTCGACCAGAAATTAGGTAACTTGAGCTGGTAGGTGCTGTTCTACCGGTTGTGTTTGCAGCATTTCGATGTCGATTTTCGGTCTTACATTAGATCGCAACTTTGCTGCTACATTAAGACGAGTACGAACCTTGGATGTTACAAGCTAATGGTGCGAATCGATATTCGATCCTCGGATCGATCGTACGTCTCAAACACTGGATGAATGACTTACGTCTATCACAACATAACCAAATTGATTTCTCATTGTTTGATCGAGAGTAATCCAGGTTGCCTTGTGTATATCGAGATGCTTGAATCTGGTGCTGCTAACTACCATTTTTTTTGCTGCCGTGAAGTCAACCTCATGCTGTTGTCGGATGATTTTTAATGGAGGCTGAATTTTTCCACGTTGGGCCCAAAAATAATTTCCGTTCCGATTTTTTCATTAAAATCTCCTAGCAGAATTTAAATGTCATGGCCAGGGCAACGTCCATATGATGTGTCTAAAATATATCTTTGGACTGCTCAATTTTGTCTTTGGACAGCTCAATAACTTCGTTTTTATACGGATTATAGTTATTCGCTCATCCACTGGAGTGAATGTGGATACTAGGTCTTTTATTCTCCTGTTTACCATAAATTCGCTGCCAAATTCATGTCTCGTTTCATGGCAGCGACAATACTGAGTGTAATCATTTGATTTACTTACGCCTGTCCCTTTTCATGGCATATCCTGTAAGGCAAAAATATTGGCCTTGTACTACTTGAGTACATCCGTCAAAGCGAAAACTGCACCTGTTCTGGATAACGCAATGAAGTTGTAGAAATCTATTTCTGAACGGTATGCATATATTAACATTCTATTCCATAATTGACTAGAGTATATTGCGCTGATCCTGTTGTGGTCCCCTTGGTAGAAAAATTACAGGAACGATACATTTGTGAGACTCCAATAATATGTGGGCTGTGGGGTCGTCTCGTACTCCGACAACGACGATTCGGATAATGAAGTTATTAGAGGTCTTCTTGGAGATTTCCGGTGCAGCGTTTTCATTTGTACCCTTCCTTATATATGAAAGGACCTACCCTTTATCCTCAGCATATCATAGTTAAATGTATTTATTGAGATAATAAGATTATTTTTAATTTCTTCTCTGGTAGTACCAAAATATTTTAAAAAATATATCCATATAGGTGTTAATACTTACAATTGAAATATAACACTATATCTTAATAAACTATAGCATACTAGCATCCCATGTATGTACTTAGAATATAAAATAATATTTAAGGGAATTTTCGAGATGGTACAGTAACTGAGTTCCATGTTTTTCTTAAATTCATAGAACTCAATCATTTGGAAAATAAATGCATATATTAATAAGTTTTAGCACTAATCAGCTATGGGAAAATATTTGTATAGGGCTATGTTCAAGCGTATAATTAAAGCATTGTGGATAATTGGCATATCAGCTGGCATACTAAAGATGTTTTGGCATCTTACTATCGAAAGCGTACATATATCGGCGGATGCGTTTGGGATCTGTTCGCCAAACTTTTCAGAGTACTCATGCGTACAAAAGAAGCCATTATGCCAAACAGCTGGTGAAACCATCACTTCATAGATACTATAGACGACGGAAGTATTTTTTACACTAATAAAAAACAAAACCCCCATTGTACCAGAACAAAATTTCTTTAACGGTTCCAATCACACGTGATATATAGTTACTAAATCGCGATTCCTATATTTCCTTTCCATTTTCCTTTACATATTTATCAGCAAACTTTGTTTTATGGATGGTGCAAATTTGTTTTCCACAATAATCTTTTCTTTAAGAAAACTGGTTTATACCCTTCAATTCAACAGGTCGAAATTTTGCAGGTAGGTTAGTTTCACCGAAGATACATCGGGTTGTTTTTGTTTGAACTTAAATGTGCACTTGACTTGACTGCACACACCCAGTGTCATTAACCTACCTGCAAACGTATATGGTCTAGCTTAACGGGGCTGGGTATGAATCCCACATCACAGCCTTCTTTGACCAGGCGACCAATCCACCAGTTATGATCATATTTTTCTTTGATGTGTAGAAATTCCCTAACGTCAAAGGAAACAGCACCACCCTGTACGGGTGAATCGTCATCGATGCTGGCATCATAGGCAACATTTGTTCGCACAGCGAACGCAACAGGTTTACTCTAGATTTTTGTTTGATTATAATTATCGGGATTAAGATAAGGATAAAGAGATTATGGAGAGGTTATTGGTTATCAAGCATTATTATTATTGTTACGTAATTGGTACTAGCCGCCTAATTTATACTACATACTCTAGCTTTATCCAACTGGCTTTGGGCCTGACTTTCCTTAGCTCGCCGAAGCGATTCCTTTTCCTCGTCTAGCGACAGATCGGATGACGGTTGTGAGTAATTGGAGTCGGCAGAACCCTGAAAAGAAAACGAAATTAGAATTATTAATTAATTAATGATTTCTATAGTAATTTAAGAAAAATAAATAGTATTATATATATGAAATAAGAATAGAATATGTATAAGATCTTCGAATTAATTGCAGATTTGATTAATTTCGGATCAGAATTTGTATGGATGTTTTATTAGCAGAGTATAAGGCCAGCAAATCCATTAAGAATTTTAAGTGCCGTTGGAAAATCCCGTTTAAAGAAGAATGTCATATTACATATACCAAGGTGGGAAAATGCAGCTAAAACTTTCAAACTATACAAACAAATATACATGGCTATACATTGAGATTGGTACAGTAATTTCAAAGGCAGACTGAAATTTAAGTCCATTCGCGGAACACAATTCTTTCATAGATTCTCGGTAGATATCGGTTAGATATAGCATCCATATATATGCTCGTTCGACTCGAAATTTTGCAGAGCATATCGAATTAAGTATAGAATACTATTTTGTGCAGCCCCAAGAGTTTGTAACGCCGCGAAATATTGGTCGTAGACCCATCTTTAAGTATACCGATCGTCATATCTCGACTAGCTGAGTTAAATTTTGGGATGAAGTGGACCGAAAAGTTATTTTGTTGTGTGTTTTTCGAGTCGATGTATAGGCCACAATTATAAGCCGAACATCACAACACAGCCCACGGCGAAGGGAATGTGGACAAGTAATTAGGGGGGCTGTACTGAATATTAGTTATATTCGGAATATATGTCTGTGTAGGAAGAGGTGCTGTTGACCTCTAATCCAGCAATAGGGTTCGAATATCGCGAACTATTGTCCAGGCTCAGAATAAACATCCGCAGAAAGTTAGAGTTCCGTGGAAGTTGTGTAGGATATCGTATGGTCGGCCCCGTCCGACTATACTGCTCCGCTCACTGGTTAATTATACTCTACACAACTACGTTGTAAGGGTAACATAGTCTTGTATGGCCCAAAGAGTTTATAACGCCGCGAAATATTTGATCTAGTCCCACCTTTTAGTATACCAATCCTCATATCTTGTCTATGTGAGTCGATCTAGACATTGGTATTCGCCCATCTGCCCATTGTAACTTGTAAACACGATACAGACCATGGTTTTTGGCCAATCATCGGTTAAGTTTGCATATATGTTCGTTTCCGGCAAATAAAGACCCGTATTGTAATGATCGGATAATATTTAGGGGATGAAATGGACCAAAAACTTTATTGTTGTCTGTTTTTCTGGCCGCTCTAGAGGGCACAATAATGAAACGAACATCACGAAATTTTAAATGGAGAGATTTTAAACCGAGAAAGCAAGGAACACGTATAACACTTTCCTTGATAATCGGACAATATATAGCGGGTCAAATTACCCCATCTTTTGTGTGAAAAATTACAATGTCAATAATATTGATGTATGTACTCGGATGTGGAAGTTATACTTAAATATAGACAGAGGTCTATCTATTCTGATATTGGTTAATATTACCAGTACCACACTAGATGGAGGAAATGTCACGATGACGCTATAAAATGGTGCATGAATTTTCGGTGATAATCAGATGATATTTAGGTCATGGAACTGGAAACTTTATTTTTGTTTGATTGTCTAGTCGCTCTAGAAGCCTCTGTTGTAAGCCGAATATCTAAAATTTTACACATTTTTAGAAAATGATCGGTCAACAGTTATCGCTTTAAGGGAACCCCACCCATTCTCGATTTAAATTTTTCAAGATTTTCAATGGGCTGTAAATCAATACCAATGCTTGTTAAGGTTTGTAACTTTACACATATATAATTGAAGATTTAAAATAGAAGAAAAATAATTTACAAAAAAAAATTTGTTATTGTTTTGTTGTTGTTTTTTGTAATTAAGGAAAGTCCTTATTTTTGGTGGCGGGCATGATAACTCCTCATTGGAACATCGGAATCCGAAAATTCCAACGGTGTTAGAAAGAGTACATGTCTGGCTCTCGTATGAACTAGGATTATTGACTTCGCTCTAAAATTAACAAAATGGTGAACCTTTGAAAAAATATTTTTGGAAAATCGCCGATTTTTTTACCAAAGCCCAAGTCAAAAAATAAGGAAGATCTTCACCGATTGGCTTTATCCTAGTTCATACGATAGCTATACACTCACAGAGAAACGTGTAAAAATTTGAAATCGATTGGGTTATTAGTTTTTGAGTTATCGTGCCCGCCATTCGCAAAAAAATGTTTAGTGAAAAACGCGTTTAAAATTTGAGAAGCCCTTCAGCCATCACTTGATGGTGACACAATAAATCGGCTATATCTTCAAGAGTTCTTGAGATTTTCATTTGAAATTTTGTAGGGACATTCTTTAATTAGTGTAGATTCGAATTATATCAACAAAATTTTTGACCCCGAGAATGGGGGGTCCCCTTAAATGAACCAAGACTTTTGTTTACTCTGGAAAAACGTAAATCGGAAGATATGCCAGGATAAGAAGGAGGTCCGATTGAGACGAAATTTACCATACCGTATTTAATTTTTTACACCCTGTGGTACAGGGTATTATGTCTGTGTGCATATGTTTGTAACATGCAAAAGGAAACGAAGTAGACACAGGTTTCCTTTTGATAATATACATAGAATCACATTCTGAGTCGATTTATGCATGTCCGTCAGTCTGTTCATGTTAAATTGTGAACAAAGTACAGGTCGCATTTATAATCCCAATTGGACGAAATTTAGCACAGTTTATTTATTTGGCCCAAGACGGAAACCCTGTTGAAACTGGGTACCGATTTAGATATAGCTCCCATATATATTTTTGTCTGATTTAATGTAAATGGTCCAACAAAGCCCCTATATATCTTTCGATTTGCAGGAAACTTGCCATAGCATTCTGAATTGGGGTCCTTTTGTATGGGGGCTACCCGAAAACGTGGATCTACATCTAAATACAAAAATACCTTAAATCGGGAGGTACGGTTATATGGGCGCTATATCAAACATATGACCAATTTCCATACCAATATTCGCTTTGATATATTAAATAATTGGCTAAATATAGTATTTATTATGAAATAATTTATTAATATATAGTTTTCTAATAATGTAATAAATTTATATATTATTTAAATTGTTATATAGATAAATCTATATATATATATATATATATATTCGCTTTGATATACCGAAAAAGGCGAAGGGTATTATATAGTCGTCTTTCTGAGACAATTTATGCATGTCCGTCCGTCCGTCTGTCCGTCTGTAGATGTTAAATTGTAAACAAAGTACAGGTCGCATTTATGATCCGATTTGGATGAATTTTGGCTATTTTTATACCCTCCACCATAGTATGGAGGGTATATTAATTACGTTTTTCCGTTTGTAACGCATCGAAATAATCATTTCCGACCCTATAAAGTATATATATTCTTGATTCTATGACGATCTCAGCATGTCCGTCTGTCTTTTGTAATCACTCTAGCGCCTAAACGTCGTCTTTTGTCTGCTGGCAGGTCAAGTTCGAAGATGGACTATATCGGTCCACGTTTAGGCACAGCTCCCATATAAGGGTACCCCCCAATTTTCGGTATTTTGAGGTTCTTGAGCGTGTTTTCAACCGAATTCGCTAAAATTTGGTACTTTGATTTCTTATTAGGTAGCAAATCTCCCCACTAAAAATTAAAAATATCGGTCCATTTTTTGGGATGGCACCCCTATAAGGGTACCCCCAATTTTCGGTATTTTGAGGTTCTTGAGCGCGTTTTTCAGCCGAATTCGCTGAAATTTGGTGCTTTGAGTTCTTATTGGATAGCAAATCTCCTCAATAAAAATTATAAACATCGGTTCATTTTTTGGGATGGCACCCAGTAAGGGTGCCAATTTGGTGGAATTTTTGGTGTTTTGGTCGCATTTTTCCACCGAACTGGCTGTAATTTGGTACTTTGAGTTCTTATTGGGTACCAAATCTCCCTACTAAATATTGTAAATATAGGTCAATTTTTTCTGGTACCCCCTATATAACGGTACCTCTCAATTTTCGGTATTTTGGGGTTCTTGAGCGCGTTTTTCAACCGAAATTTGCTACATTGGGTTCCTTTTGGGTACTTAATGTCTTCACAAAAAATTATTAATACAGGTCCACTTTTTCTGGTAGTCCCCATATAACGATAACTCCTAATTTTCAGTATTTTGGGGGTTTTGATCGTATTTTTCCGCCGAATTAGCTGTAATTTAGTATTGTGAGTTCGTAATAGGTGCCAAATCTCCCAACAAAAAGTTATGAATGTAGGTCCATTTTTTCGGATAGCCTCCATATAAGGGCACCCCCATTATTCGGTATTTTGGGGTTCTTGAGCGCGTTTTTCAACCGAATTCGCTGCAATTTGGAATTTTGTAGTCGTATGTGGTAACAAATCTCCCTACTAAAAATTATTAATATTCGCCCCCTTTTTGGGGTAGTCCCCATATAACCCCCTTTTTATGCCCTTCACCAGACTGTGGTACAGGGTATTATGTCTTTGTGCATATGTTTGTAAAAGGCAAAAAGAAACGAGATAGACACATGGTTCCTTTTGAGAATATGCATAGAATCACTTTCTAAGTCGATTTATGCATGTCCGTCCGTCGGCCCGTCTGTCCGTCTGTAGATGTTAAATTGTAAACAAAGTACAGGTCGCATTTATGATCCGATTTGGATGAAATTTGGCACACGTCACTTATTTGGCCCAAGGACAAACCCTATTGAAATTGGGAAAAATCGGTTCAGATTTAAATATAGCTCCCATATATATTTTGGTCCGATTTAAGGTAAATGGGGCACCAAAGTCTCTCTATATCTTTTAATTTGCACGAAATTGGGCACAGAGTACTGAATAAGGTCTAGAAAGATTTGTGCCAAGTTTCGAGAAAATCGGTTCAGATTTAGATATAGCTCCCTTTATATTTCGTCCGATTTAAGGTAAATGGTGCACCAAAGTCCCTATATATCATTCGATTTGCACGAAATTTGGCATAGTGTACTGAAAT